TATCACGAAATTAAATTCTTTTTCAATTTATCGCGAAAATAATTGAATTTATTAAGCCTTTTACATAGCAGACTCTCGGATATAAGATTTGAATTTATCACTTAGGGTCCAAAGAGGAGGTTCTTCTCGTTTTTTTTCCAAGTTTCTTTTTTTTTGTCGCGCATTCTTTCAAAGATTTTACGATTTTATTTGGATCGCGCTAAATTTATTTTTCGGCAGATATTTTCTTCCTATCTCGATCGTCTGCGACACGCGTTTTCGCTCGTCGCGAAATTTTTCCGGCCGCCTGCGTTTTTCCCACATTTTACGAGCATCTCCCGAGGATTTTCGCCGCCTACAACTGCATTCTTTAAATAAAATTCTCGCATTTTGCTACTCCCCAGAGAGATATTCTCTAGGATTTTTCCGCAAAATATATTTACGAAATTCCGAGATGTGTGTGTATTCTAGAATTATTTATTCTTGAATTTTATTTTCTCGCCAGCTATCCGTTCCGAAGATTCGGATGTTTCTATCCCTCTGTCAACGAATCCGTATATGCAATGCGATTTTAAATGTTAAAAATGTGCTGGATCTTTTCTCCATCCTTGAAACGTAATACGACGAATTTATTTGCATGTTAGAAATTTTAAAAATATAACGAGGAAGAAAATTTGATGCAGTTGCTATAAAAATTATCGCAATATGTCGAAAACACTTATTCATATATTGATGGAAAAGTTATGCAAAAAATTATTTTCATAGAAAGATTAACAAAATCTCTTTTTCTTCTTTGTATGTAGCTCTATTTTAGAACAAGGTTTTATGGAACTTGCGAATTTTTAATCTTTTTTTATAAAAATTTAAAAATACTATATATGTAGAAATATGTTTAAAAATATTATACATGTATTTAAAAAATGTTTACAATTTATAAATAACTTTTGTTTTTAATTATTTTTTTTTAAATATTGCATTTTTTATTTTTCAATTTCTGCAAAGCAAAATTTTTATTGCTTAAAATTTAATATTTCATTGAATTAATAATTTAAATTTCTCGAATTTGTGGATTTCTCGGTTTTTTGCGTATTTTTCATATTTTTAAACTTTTATACGCAATTTTCTCTCTCTCTCTCTCTCTCTCTCTCTATGAACACAAATATTTAATCTCAAATATTTCGAAGCATTATGAATTGATGAAATATTTAGAACGTGCAATTACAGTGTCTGTCATTAAAATAGAATAAAATGCATTTCCTAAAATATAAGGAATAATCGACGCAGCTGTCAAAAAAAAAAAAAAAAAAAAAAAATTATCGCAAGGCTATATATCGAAAACGCGCAGTTTGTACCTGGATACTTTATATTGTTGGAAAGGTGAAAAATTATGCATTGACGGAACGTGAAAGATCGAAGATACAGGAGACTTCGCGGTTCGATGGATCTTATGATTGAAATGTATTTGATCGCAGAGACGGAGGAGTTTTTTAATATTCCCGCCTTACTCTGACCTCCTCGTTTCACTTTCAGTTTGCGTATTCCTTAGTCGATCGACTGAAATGCTCTGGAAGCTCTAAACGACGTCAAATATGATTCTCCTCCTCCTCTCTTTCGCAACTTACTTTCGATTCCTTCGACAAGTATTGCCGATGATCCTGTGTACGAGAATATTCGAAGGAATATATTTCAGATCCCCTGGATGAATATTAAATTGATTTCTCTCTTTCTCTCTCTCTCAGGTTGATATTTAACTTTGTAAAATATATCGATTCTCTGGTATTTTTACAATTTTTCTCAGACGAAAAATATTTAGGGACCAAAATAGGGAGATGTCTTTATTAAATTCTTTGCATATTTGAATTATGGAGGAATAAAGAAGATTTTCTTTCATTCTTATTCCAGTTATTTTTCGATGTGAAAATATTAAGAGCTATATTAAGAGAAATTTATTTTAAGAAAAAAGCTATAATATATAAGTTTAAGCTCGCGAGGCAAATATTGAGTTTCGAGGGATTCTCCGAAAGCCGCGTGTTCTTGGAAAATCTTTTTCCAGAAAACTACTTTGATACTTGAAATGTTATTAATAGAAATATTGGGAGAGGAAAGATCCACGTATTACATTTTTAGGAAAGAAACTTCGGGGTATTATTTCAGGATATTTTAATGGAGGAATATCGCGAGACTTTCAATTAAAATTGAGAGGGTGAATATTAATTTAACCCTTCTGTCGATGAACAGATATTCAAATTTTATAAAAAAAGTCTTTGTATTTGTACGTCAATGAAAAGGTGAACGAAAATTATATAAAAAAATTAAATAAAATAAAAATAAAAATTGTATGGTAGGGTATTAGATGTCTCAACAAACTGGATAATATTATTAAAGCGCAGAAAGATAAACTAAACTTCCATGCAATTCGAATGTGGTTTATAAGATCAGTTGCAATAATTGTAATGCATCTTATGTAGGCCAAACAAAGAGGCAATTGCAGACGCGAATGAAAGAACATAAAAATAATATTAGATTGGACTCAACGAAACATTCAGTATTTCTGAACACATAATAAATGAACATCATACTTTTAATTGGGACAATGTTAAGATCATGGACAACGAAAATAATTATTATAAAAGACTCATTTCTGAGATGCTACATATCAAGGAACAAAAAATGGACTAAATTTAAACAAAGATACTGAGTTACTTAGCGAGTCGTATTTTGATATTTGGATATATTAGCGAACAAGAAATAATAATAGGACAAATAGGACATTAACGAGTAAAACATAGATATTAGATCATATATAAACACGCACGCTCTCCGATCAAGTAGAGTTTAAAATGAGCTGTCTTTCTGTATTGTTGGTTTGTTATGTGTCATCCTTATAACTGTTAATAAGTAGCAAAATTGTCAAGAAGAACGATGATAGGTAAGCATACTACCAATTGTAGGGGATACATATTATAATTTGGACATACGTTGATCGGTAAATTTTTATTAATCGCAGCGCCTACGGAACGGGTTAATTTCTCGCATATTAACGATGAAACTATCCGAGATCTGAACAAAATCAGGGATCATATCGAGGCGAACATTGTTGGACAGGACGGATTGAAACACGCGTTAATTGCTCAAAAACTCTTGATTCTGAATAACTATAATTAAATTTCGATATTATGTGAATTGTAAGAATTTATATTTCAATAATTATACTGAAGAAGACCGCGTGCGGTCGAAACGTTTATAGAATGATTGTAATTTGCGTTAGTTTAATATAATGACTGTAGTTTTATAATTTACACATGTAATAAATGGTAGTTGACTGAACATCTCGAATATTCAGCTCGATAAGTTGGCCTTATATTTATCACTTTGTTTCAATATACGAGCGACAATTGTATTAATTTATAAAAAATTATTTAAACATATTATATAAATTATACAAAATTACACAAATTACATAAATTATGTTCGAGAATAAAAATTATTAATTAAGTGAAAATTTAAATTCAAGAAATAAAAAAATGTGTTCGTGAAAATTGGAATATAAAAAATTAAAATTAAGACAGTTAAAAGTAAGAAGGTTGGGTTATGCATAATCAAAATTATATAACGATCTATTGTTAGATTACGAGCGAGAATGTGGAATGTAATGGGACATTTTGTCATTAAAATTTTCACTAGTTTGAATCCCGAGCATATTATATATAAAGTGACATAAATTCATGAGGGAAACTCCTCGGTTGCCAACACATGTGAGTTGACTTGACGGAGGGTAACCGCGTCTTGCGATAGTTACCGGTATGTTCGTGCGAAACGGAGTGACAAAATGACGTAAATTCGTGCCGTCGTATTGCCGCGCGAAAACGCACCCTCCGTCAGGCGCAATGGCGTGTTTTGAGAGCCCACGGTTTACAACGCGATGGATGTGTCGTTAATATTGCGAAAGCATCCGCTGCGAAAATTCAAACAAGCTCAGAAATTCCCTCTTTACGAAATTGCACCGGGATTGATCGTCCCGCATATACAGGGTGTTTTACGCAAAACAATATAGTGGTATTAAAGTATCAGAAAAAAATGATGATTTCTTCAGCATAACAAGGAGAGAAAATTAAGAAAAATTTTTTTATAACGGGATGCTGCCGTAGTTCTGTTTTACCGACTTTAAGTTAGGTTAACTTTTTATTGAATATACAGATTGAAAAATCCTCTACAATGAAAGTATTTTTATTACTTCTGCATTATTCTTTCATGTCATCTCTATTGGGAGCGCCATATTTTGTGCACAAATGAACTGCAGAACTTTTGTATTAAATAAGTATTGTTATGAGTTGATGCGAGAGGTCGATAAAAAAACAAATTTTTTAACTTTTATTATTTTTTTTACACGAAATTACAGCGTTCTCTGTTCATTATTATCAGTATTTTAATTGTGGAAAAGGATTTTTTAATCTGTATAGCCAATAAAAAGGGTATTTTAAACGTCCTTGAGAAGTCTGTTGTTTCTTTCCTGTTTTATCGACAAAATGTGAGGTTAGATAAACTATAAATCTATTTATTGGCTATAAGGATTGTTTTTTTACCTGAAATTAGAGCGCTTCGCCCTTTGTTAATATTAATACTTTAATTTGTACAAAATTTATCAATCTATATAGTCTTATATATCTAGGTTACAGAATTATAAATTCAAGAATGCTGTAACTGTAGATATACGAGACTATACAGATTGATAAATTTTTTTCTTGTACAAACTAAAGTATAAAAATTAACAAAGAACGAAGCGCTCTAATTTCAGGTAAAAAACAATCCGTATAGCCAATAAATAAATTTATAGTTTATCTAACCTCGCAGTTTGCCGAAAACAGAAAGGAAACTTAGATTAGCTTAGGATCCCCTTAAGAAACTTCTTCAGAGGGAAAACAATATGAAAGATATTTTCGTGAATTAGAAATTAAATAATAGAAATATATTTTGATATTTATTGTTATTATATAATCCGTTTTTTCATATTTCTCTCTCTTTAATTTTTATTAATTTATATCTTCGATTTATACATTTTTCAATTAGCTGAGCCGACTGTTTAGCCTCCATTTATTCAAATTATATAAACACATAGGGAAGAATTTTCCTCTCTCACACACGTCGTACACATATTAATGATTCTATAAATGATACATTATGACAAATGACAAAACATCCAATGGATAGAACACGAAGAGCAAGCTGACAGAAAGATTTGCGATTCGCAAACACATATCTGACTCGGCATACCCGTTGCGGAAGCTGCATCTGCGCGGCGAGGGACCGTGTTGCTGCAGCTGCAGCTGGTGCTGTTGCTGCAGCTGCACCTGTTGCTGCAGCTGCGGTTGGTGCTGCAGCTGCACCTGTTGCTGCAGCTGCGGTTGGTTGCAGCTGCACCTGTTGCTGATGCTGGAGAGTCGATTTTGACGGGGTTTGATTACCGGGGCTGCCGGCCATACCCTCGAGACCTCTCGACAGCTTCAGCATCTCCGCGCCGAAGGCGTGCAAGGCGGACATGGCCGAGGGTGGCGGCTCGCTTTCCGGCAGCCAGAGCTCGTGGGTGTCGAGAGTGGTCAGTTCGGTGTCGGTCGACGTGCCGGAAGTGTGCTGCGGCGTGCCGCCGCTTCCGCCCGAGCTTTTGTTCAGGAGGTACCTCTTCCAAGTGTTCCGTCGATCGAGTCCTGAAAATTGTCGGACAGAATCGGGGAGACCTTAGCGATTATTTATTCCAATTTTTTTGCTTCTTGCGTTTGTTGGTGAGGAAAGAGAGGATTTTGATGATTTTTTTTGTTTGATATGTAGCAGAATGAATTTCCTTTTTTTTTTATTGGAGAATGTATGGATTTTTATTAATTTTAGCGCTCGGAGATGATGAGGGAGTGTGAGGAATTATTTTTTTTTTTTTTTTTTTGATCGAAGAAGAGAGTTTAAATGTATATTTTAAGCTTTCTTGTTAATTTTAAATTTAACTTCTAATTTTTAGAAAGGTCAAAAGAGTCAGGGAATTAATAATATTAGAGGAAAATATTGGAATATTTTGTCGAGTTTTTTTTAGAAATTTTACGAATTGCTCCTCTAACTATTTATTTTTATTTATCAGTTTACATGTAGCTCAGAAATGATCTGGTAAATGGGATTAAGTATCTTGCAAGTAAAAATTTGTATGATTTCAAATTCTATATAAAAAAAAAGAACAGTACTTTCAAGTACATTCAAACTTGAATCAAGTATATTCGCATCTTTTATGAGTACTTATGAGTACTTATGAAAAATATACGAGTACTTATGAGAAATTTTACGTTTTATATATATAGATTTTTTAAAGTATTATTTTTTAAAGATTCGATTCTTAACAATAAGAAAGCGTAAGTATACTATTTGGAATTTTATAGATACTACAATCTAAAATTCGAATACAATTATTCTGGACCCGATTATGCCTAGAAATTACCTAGAAAACCTAGAAAATGAAACTTTAATTATTAGAAATTCCGACATGAATTTTAAGTCGAACTTGATGCCATTTTTATTAATTTCTTTGAAATTTCTCCTTCTTTTTCTCGCATATTAAAAAAAATCGTCTGGAATTCTGAAGTGTCTGTCTCGAGTAGGTTTATGCCTCGGGTCGTAACGCGCTCAAAGGATCTCCACGTCGTGTCCTGCGAAATCCTTCGATCCTGCGGAATATTAAGCGCTCCCGGGTAAAAAATCGCGCTTCCAGCCCCGGGAGCTATCGATTAATTTTCATATCGGACGCGACTTTCTCAGCATACTGTGTCGCATCCGAGTTCTTTGCATAATGTCCGCCATTTGCATATCTCTTCGTCGTGGACGTCGGCGAGCTTCCGGTGACGTGCCGGCGAAGTTTCTTGTCGCGAAGTGCTTTCAAACAGAGACAGAGCCTCGCCTATTTCTCTCTTCTTGCTCCATCGATCGCCGGGATCGATCTTCCGCGCGAAAAATGAAAGAAAAAAAAAAAGAGGAAAAAACCAACCATTAATCATGCGAGACTCTGCATCCTCGATGTTGCGCGCCGAATTATTTATACCGTAATGATTAGTTGCACACGATGGAGATTCGCGAGGATAGATAAGAAAAATAATTCACCCCCCATCATTAGCGAGTTTCGGCTGAAATTCTCGAATTTAGAGGAAATCGTTTCGAGAAATTCGGAGATCAAGATTTTTAACAGGGTGTCTATTTCTACTATTTTAAAGTTTTCATAAAATCTCACGTGCTTTTACCTCTTTTTAATATAGAAAAATCTTATTTTAAGTATCATAGAAAATTGTTCCATTTTTTAATAATGGTTTAATAAATTAGAAAACATATGAAACTATTTCTAATAAATTATTTATTGTTTTATTCTTTATTTTGTAATTTTATACATCTCTTCAGCGTTTAGATGTAATGATATGATATGGTATATACATACGATTAATAAATCAATATTCTTTGTAATATGCATTCTTTGTAATCGTAAATGAATAGAAGGGAAACTTATTTTAAAAGGCATCTACAAATTTTATTTTATCTAGAATTTCAAAGGAAAATATCTGGAAGATAAGAGAATTCTTTGGGAATTTTTTACCTTAGAGATTTGAATAGACACCCTGTTTAATTTTTTTACAATGTAAAGATGTAATCTCGCAACTTTTGCAATTTTATGAATAAAAAGAAACATTTTATTTTATCTAGAACTTCAAAGGAAAATATCTGGAAGATCAGTACTATAAAAAAATATGTAATATATTACACAGAAATGTGTAAAATTACATAAATAATAAGTGTAAAATTACACTTATAAAATAAATAATAGAAATGTTTGCCTTTTCATTATTTATCATGTAATTTTATATTATTATTTATGTAATTTTACATACTTTTAACGTAATTTTACGTATTTTTTTTTACAACGAAGGAATGTTTTGATCCTAGAGATTTGAATAGACACCCTGTTTAATCTTTTTTTACGACGTAAGATGTAATCTTTCTTTTCCTACTTTATTTATATTTAACGAAGAGGCACTTAATAGGGAAACGTGCTGTAAACCGCAATAATTGCGCGATGCGCCGCGCAAAATGGCGTAGTGTATTCTGGCGTAAAGTTGGTATGCAAATTCCGTTTGTTGCGCGGTAATCGGAGATTTGCCGGAGTAAAATCAAAGCGACAGTAGACGTGATGGCTTCCGGCGAAACCTCGCCGGAAGTGGGACGGAGAGAGAGAGAGAGAGCGAAGGAACGCTTTCTCTCTCTTTCGAGCGCTTTGTTAAGGAGGAGACGAATTTGCGACCCAACATTCCGGGAAAACGTTTATGAGAGAACGAAACCCCCGGAACGCGCGCTTTTCTTTGAAGCCGCGGGCATTTGATAATTGGAATAAATAATAATTTTTATCGGGATGGAAAAAAAAAATATAATCGTACATAGCCTGCTTCTGAGTTGCTCATTTTTGCGTAAACTGCCGCGTGTCCCCAGGGAAAATCGGGAAATATTGTCGCTCGGAAGAATTGCTCGACAATGAACGAAGAATAAAGTAGAAAATAGACGATGAGAGGGCTATATATGTACACTACCGCTCAAAAGTATCGGCCCACCTAGGTAAATTGTGTTTAAATGACTATAAATGACTATAAATAAACGACTATAAATGAATGACTATAAATGACTATAAATAAATGATTATTAATGACTATAAATGAATGACTATAAATGACTATAAATAAATAACTATAAATGACTAAAAATTAATGACTATAAATATAAAATGACTATAAACGACTATAAATAAATAACTTTAAATCACTAAAAATTAACGACTATAAATGACTGAAAATAATGACTATAAATGACTATAAAATTTGTCTATTACTCTTTCCAGCCTTACGAAATCCGACAATTATGCCTCTCATCTCGTCAGATAATTTCTTTTTTACTATTTTAATATTATGTGGAAGAATAAAAACAAAACTATTTTTGCAAAATGTGCATTGAAAGATGTTGTCTGTTCAAATGGCAGCAGATAACTGACGTAAATGTATATTCGCTACATTCTAAAATATCAAATAAACAAAAAAAATTCCATGAAACACGGGTCTCTGTAATAAAAACTTAAAAATACTCATTTAAGAAAAGAGTCATAAATACCTTATTTGACTTTCTTGCTATTTGTTAGTAAACGTGAAGTGATATTTATAATATAGCTATTGAAAACGACTTTCCGTTAACGCATAAACTGATAAACATCGATGAAAGACAATAGACACAATTTAGTTTTTTTTAAATTAAGGGTGGGCAAATACTTTTGAGCGGTAGTGTATATATATATATATATATATATATATATATATGTATATGAAGTGTGTGTGGTATCTTTTATCAAGATTCTGATTTATTTAGCTAGCTGTATATTAAAATGTTTATTCTTTGTTATATGTGATATATAATACAATTTTATGTGTACGTTGTATATATGTAGAAAAAATAGGTGGAAAATTGATAAATTGATATAAACAACGTTTTTAGAGGCGCAATCATTTTTTTTCATTTTTTTTATCGCTGCCAAATGAGCGAGAGAAAAGTGGGTAAAAGTGCTTCGTGGAATGATAAGAGAAATATTTGAGATGAATAAAAAAATAACATATTTTTTTAACCACTTGTTATTTAATTAAAATTCGAGGAAGGTCGTGATTTTTCCGTCGAAATATTACGAAGCATCAAGAATTTGTTAGCGCGTAAAAGAATTTGAAGGATCGAAAATTCTTTAAATATATTTTCGAAATTGTTTAAAGTTGTATACATATCCCTAAACTAAAACGAGATGAAAAGTATGGATAATGACTAAATTTATGAATACTAAGATGACTATTCGATAAATTAATATTTTTAATCCTTTGATATGTTGATTTTCGATTTTTATATTTAATTTAGGAAATTAAATTGAAAATAGAAAAAAGGAATTTGGAGGATTGAAAATTCTTTAAATCACCAGGACGAGATGAAAGGTATAAATGATAGTTCATGAATATCAAGATATTCGATATATTAATATTTTTAATCCGACGAATTGTTGATTTTTTATTTTTAATTAATTAAAAAAAAATTAAATTGAAAATGGAAAAAGAATTTGAAGGATCGAAAAATTATGTAAATATTTTT